CCGCTGTGATGCTGGTGATGTCTGTATCTGATGGGGAGAGAAGCCAAATTGTGCAAGCGCACGGGGAGATGGGCGAGCTGGGATGGGGATGCCCTGCTCCGACAGGTAGGCAGCTCCGGCTCTGTGGGTGAGGCTGCTCTGACATCCCTTTGCGATGAGATGTTGCAGGGATGGGTGCCTGCACGGAAACACCCCCAGCGTGTGGGTGATGTGGCTGGGATTGGGGCATGGGGCTGAGATGGGGGCACAGTGCTTTGGGTGAGCTGCTGCTGGTCATCTCTGGGAGCAAAAGAAAATGTCATTGTGCAGGCTCTTAACTCTGGTTCTTTCCATGGGGGGTGACCCGGTGCTGCAGCTGGGTTGTGTTTTAATGTTGCTTCCCCAAAATGAGTGGGAGCAAACCCCAGCCCCTGGGTGGTCTGGTAGCCCTGGATTGAGGGCTGAGCCCTGACGGAGGGCAGGAGGACCCTGTGCTCTGTAATGGTTAACTAGGACTTTGGTTATGTAATTAAACCTGAATTTTAACGAGACTGCGTGGTCAGGGCCAAACAACCTGAATTTTCAAAGTGCTGATGTGTGCTATATCTTAAAAGTTGCCATCGTTGACTGGGACCTGGGTGAGCTCTGAGGTGCCCCGAGGTGGGGTGATGGATGGCCTGGGGGGAGGACGGAGCCCGTGGCAGCCTGGGGGGTGTTTTCACCCCTTCCCCCCACCCAGTGCGGCTCCCACAGGCTCTGGGCTCCGTGCTGGGGCTCCGTGCTGGGGCCAGGGAGTGTGTTGCTGGGGGAGTCTCGTGGCCACGTTCCAGCCCTCCCCGGGGACCAGTGGGTCCTTCCCCCCCCTGCCTGGCCTGCACAAAGCCACCCAACAGCCCAGGCTGCCGGAGATGGTCCCAGAGAGCCCCAGAGAGCCCCAGAGAGCCCCGGCGTCAGCAGGTCCTGCCCACGGGGCAGCCTTCCTCTCCCTGCCTGTGCTGCCCCAAGCAGATGCTGCCCAGTTACAGTTTGGGGGCTGCGTGAAGCCCCCCCATCGGTACCTCCAACAGCTTGAGCTGCTGCCGTGCTCTTGGCTATGTGTTTTGTAGGGAGGAGGCCTGAAATTGGTAATGACTGCTCACGTTAGGATGTGGTTACGCCGGGCTCTGCAGGGCCAGGGGCTGGCGATGCGTCGCTCTGTGCCGGCGGAGGGGGCCTTCTCAGGCCCGTGTTTGCAGGAGCAAGATCTGAATTCTGCCCCAAGTATCTGTTTGGACTGCTGCACCAAGCCCTGTGGTCGCTCAGAAGGGACCAAGGGCTAATTCTGTGGTGGGTGTTTGTTCAGGCTGGTGATGCTGACCCCCAAATCTGGGTGCCAGGGGCAAGGACTGAAATCTGAGCAAGAACATGCACACGCTGCTGGAGCCGCTGGCGCCCATTCGGCGGGGAGGGAGGGGGGAGCCCGTAATTGGTGAATAGTAACGTTGTGATGATGTTGAAAGCGGAGTTTGTAACAGATTTATGTTCAGACGATTCTTAAATATGTGTTTCACAGAGGCGAGGGGCGGAGTGTGTTGGGCATAAATTGCAGGGTGTGCGGGGTTCACCCCGGAGCACCGTGGTGTTTTATGCACAAGGGACCGATTAGCTCACGCATGAGCACCCCAGTCATTTCCGCATCAGCACCCAATAAGTTCACGCATGAGCACCCAGTTAATACACAGACGAGCACACAATTAATTTACATACCAGCACCCGGTGAGTTTATGCACGGGTACCCGGTAATTTGCACGGGATCACGCACCAGTCCGTGCATGAGCACCCTGTTAGTTGATGCATGGGTGCCCCATTAATGGGTGCATGTGCTCCCAATCTGTTCATGCCCGAGTGTCCAATTAATTTATGCATGAGCACCTGATCCATTCACACCTGAGTGCCCAATTAGTACACACACAAGTGTGTTATCGACTAATTACACTAATTTACACATGAGTGCCCAATTAGTTCACGCAGGAGTGCTCACTGAATTTACGCTTGAGTGCTCAATTAGTCCATGCATGAGTGCCCCGATAAATTAATGAGTGCCCAAAAAATTTATGCATGAGCACCCAGCTGGTTCATGCATGAGCGCCCATTTCATTCATGCCTGAGCACCCAGGTAGTTCATGCATGAACACCCAATGAAATCATGCATCAGCACCCAATTAGTTCACCTAAAAGCACCCAGATAATTTATGCACGAGTGCCCAGTGAGTCACATGATCACCTGGTTTATCTTTGCATGAGCGCCCATCTAGCTCAGGCATGGGTGCCCAGCTAGTGCGTGCATGAGTGCCCCATTGATTCATGCCTGAGCACCCTCTTTGCACACACGTGGGTGCCCAGTTGCCCTCATCTGGGTGCTGCGCTGAGCATCCGCAGCCCCAAACCCGGATGGGAGCCCCAGTATGGGGTGATGTGCTGGGTCCCCCCACCTGGGGTGTGTGGGGACCTGTGGGGACCTCAGGAAGGAGCCGCGGCGAGTCCCTGGGGGAGATGAATGCCGCCGGGCAGGTGATGCCGGGCCAGTTGCCTGTGGGTTGGCCACAGGCTGGCGGAGCTGGAGCGCCCTGCAGCAGTGAGGGGAGCCGCTTTGTGCCTAGAAATCATTAACCCTGGTTTCCCTGCGAAGGCGGTGATGGCCGTGGGGTCAAGGTGCTGCGGGAGCAGCTGGAGCGAGGGGGGATGCGCGGGGGGCTCAGCAGGGACGGTGCTTGCTGAGCCTTTGGGAGCCCGAGCCCACATGAGGACTGAGCTGTGGCCGACGGGGCCAGGCTGAGCGTGTGTGCTCCTGCTCAGGATCCGGCCCTGTGGCGGGGGCTGAACCCCTGCTCTTGCTCAGACAGGAGAGGGGAGAGCAGCACAAGAAAAGCCCTGTGGGGCTGGAGCATCGTGTCATCTCATGCATCCCACCATGTGGCCAGGGGGTCTCCAAACTGTTCTGAATCCGGCCACCTCTCCTGCACTCCTTCCTGCGGTCCGGCGAGCAGCGAGCTCCCCCGTGGGCAGAGCGATGGATGGGGATTCGCAGTCCCAGGTCCCTCCTCTCCTCACTGCCTGGCAAACACAAATTAACGGGCTTGAGCACTGATTAACCAGAGCTGTTTCTTGCTGCAGTGGCAGCTGGGTGGTGGGAAGAGAGGGGGCACGTGAAGGGCGGGTGGTGACAGCGCTGTCAGTCCTGGTGGGGAGTGATGGAAAGGTGGGGGTAGAGTCTTGGGGATTTTTGGGTACCGGTAGCTGGGAGGAGGGGGCTGGGGGCTGCTTGCAGTGCAGCCTCACCACACAGTCTCTGCCCCTCAGTGCTGCGTGAGACGCATGGCCCAAACCCTCCTCCCAGCTGAGGTGGGAGCGGGGATGGACCGACCAGCGCAGCTTGGCCGTGTGGGGCAGCTGCTGTGCAGCTCTGGGCTGCCTGCCCCTGCTGCCTGCCCCTGCTGCCTTCTCCTGCCCATGGAGCGAGCCCTGCACTCGGCGTTTCCCCACGCTTTGCTAAGAGCAGCGAAAACAAAGATGCTGCCGGCACGAGCGGCGTTGTGCATACGGGAGGGCGTCTGTGGTGCCCGGCCGGGGCTCCCAGCTCGGCGATGCCTCTTCCAGCGTTGCGGTTCATAACGAATGCTAACACTCTGCCTTTATTTAGCGCCTTTCATCCCCAAGGATCCCGGGGCACGCTGCATCCGCTAACAAGCTGCTACGTGCGCTATTTATAGGCATCCCCATAGTGGCTGCAGGAACGGGGGTCCCTGGGGAGGGTGGCACAGCGGGAGCACGGCAAGGGAGCCGGCCCTGCTCCAGTGGGATGCTCCAGTGGGGCTGCTGGGGGTCACCCCCTTGTCCTTGAGTGCTGGGGGTCAAACCTACCTGAGGTTTGTACCGCTGCGAATTGATCTGCATCGGCTCAGCATCGCGCCCTAATCAATGTCTGGGGGAGGGAAATGCAGCAGCCGCCGCCGCACAGGTACTTTCTGTGAGCTCGGCAGGGCTGTGCATGCCGGGCAGCTGCAGAGGATGGAGCAGGGGGAGCGGAGGGACAGCCCTGCCCTTGTGTGTGTCCCCTGCTCCCAGCCCTAGCATGGGTGGCTCAGCCTAGCCAGGAGAATGGTGTGTCCCCAAAGCTTCCATGGCCGTGGGTCCCTGCTGAGGGGACAGGCATTAGCATCCCCAATCAGTGCCACTCGGAACGTCGACACCCGGCGAGGTCGGAGCAGCTGGGAAGTGGCAGCTGTGAAGTCATCGTCTGTCTCGGATCTGTAACTGCAGATACAGGGAGGCAGGTACCCGCTCAACCCTGGCTTGCCTGGTCACAGCAGTGCTGGGCATGGGGACGTGGTGCTTCCCTGCTCTGGGAACACTCTGCCCCAGAGAGAGGGAGGAGGTGGTGGCAGCGGAGGGATGCACCCAGAGCTGGCTGGTTTTCCAAGGGCTGGAAGATGGGGCCGTGTTCCCACACCCGGGCAAACCCCGCAGCTCCGCCTCGCGCCCGGTGCCAGTGTGCTGGAGGAGGGCTGGGCCTTTGTGTGGCCGCGTTCCAGGGATGCACATTAACAAATCCCACCCCGGGAGCCCTGTGCTGATTTTCAAGCTGGCACCTGAGCGGTCCCCAGGAGCATCACGCGTCCTTCCTGTGGGCATGAGGGGAGCTGGCTCCATCCCTCGCTCCCCACTCCAGCCCAAGTGTGTCATTACCAGCGTTTCTCCTGTACTAAAAAAAGCACAGATTTCTTAATTGTTTCCTGCTGGAGTTGAAAGGCAGCTCCCGGGCCTGAAATAGCACATTGGGGGAAACACAGCCGAAGGAGAGAGAACGGGAGGCGATTTGCCTGGAGGGGCTGAGCCGAGCCCTGACCACAGCCCCAGGCTGCTGCCACTGTTGCCCCTTTCGCCTGCCCTGAAGACTGCCCAAAGTCTTGCTCTTCACCCTCCTCCTCCTCCTCCCACCCACCTCATTGGTGCCTGTGGGCAACTGGAGCTTCAGAGCTGGTGCCTGGAGCATCCCCCGGGCATCCTCGGAGTGGGGAGTTGTGGCTGATGTCTGGGTGCTTGTTGGGAGTGCGTGCAGGGAAGCCTGTTTCTGTTAGAGACATCACTCAGCATCTCCCATTTGGAAGGATGCTTCTGTGCAACCCTTTTTTGGGGGATGGGGAATCCTTTGGGACTGGCATGACTGTTGTTTTGGCTTGCCCCAGCTCAGCTGCTGGATGTGGCATGTCCTTCCCAGATCCCTCCTGCCAGGAGACCTCTGTCCTTTCCCCTGTCTGCTCTTCTCCTGCCAGACAGCCCTGCCAAAACAACTCTCTGGAATCCCTCCTGCAGCATGGTGGAAGCCCTCGGTGTCCTTCAGCCCAGGTGATGAGCATTCCTCTCCTCTCCCGGGGTGCCACCATCCGGACACCCCACATTGTGATGGCAGGTGCTGCTGCTCTCCCCACACGGCTGGTCCCTGCACCCCCGGCACGGCCACTGCAGGGGAGGCTGGAGGAGAGGCTGCCCCATGCTGAGCTCTTCCTTGGGGGATTTGTAGGCTCCGTCCCTCCAGCGGTCCCTGAGCTGTGGTGGAGGGACCCCCCATATGCACAGGGACAGCCTTGGTGCATCAATTCCTGCTCACAGGGATGCGGGAGCCAGCGCCCAGCCAGCTGCGAGGTCGGGGCCGGTGTGTGCCCCCCCCGGCTGCCCTACTGCTGCCGCCTGCCAGCCCTCGCCTTCTGCGGTCTGCACCTTCGGCCAGGCATGCTATAAATCTTTCTGATGGAAAATTGCTTTCTTTTTTTTGCCATCCAAGGTAATTGGCATCTGTTGATGTGTCTTGGTTCTCTATTTTTATCAACTGTTTGCACATTGACACATCTCCACTCCGCCTCATTATCCCAGTGCGTTCCAGACCTATTGCTTTTTTATTATTATTTAGATGTACGATGCAACGGAAATGACTAATGAGGCTGTTATCCCCCCCGCGCCTGCCTGCTGGCACCGGGCTCCCCGCTGGTGTGCCGGCCAGGCACCGCTCCTGCAGCGGGACGCGTGGGGATGGGTGCCAGCCCCCCGCCTCATCAGGCTCCCCGGCATCCAGCATCCAACCGGGGCCTTTCCTCTGCTGAGGACATTTGCGATCTCAGCAGCTGTCCCCGGGCTGGGGATGCTCAGGGTTGCTAATGTTCGCTGTTTTCTAGCTTGTCACATTTTGGGGTTTTTTTCCAGAGCCCGGTAAAGCTCCCCGGAGCCTTGGGATGGGTTTGGTGATGTTTGTCTCTGTGGTACCTGAGGGATGCCAGCCCCGGGGCTGTGTCCATGCCCACAGTCAGTGTGTCGATGTCAGAGCTGGGCAGGTGCCTTCCCTGAGCCACGTCCAGGCAGATGTTTTGGCAGGAATGTTTCCAGGAATGTTTTGGCTCTGGGCAGGCAAGAGGGCAGGGCTGGATCCTCCCCAGATATGAACCAGCCTCGCCCCTGCGTGGTCCATTGTATCTTGCAGCGATAGTCCTGCACTCCTCTGGCAAAATGTCTTGGTGGTCTCCCCAGTTTTGAAGCCGGAGGGACTCCAGTGCCTCCTCCATCCCCAACCCCATCGGCCTCCTGGGCTGGTGGAGGACTCCCAGTCTGTGCCTCGAAGGCAGCTGCCTTAGTGTGGATAACACATAACATGTAGCAGCAGGTGAGCCCTGCAGCATCCCCCCAGGGAAGTCACTCAGTGAAGTGCAAAACACAAGCCATCACAGGGAAAGTGCTAAATTCCTTTTCCTTTTCTTTTTCTCTTTTCTCCCATTTTCTCTTGCAGTTACGGAGAAGGAGGTGCAGCAGTGGTGAGTGTCCAGCACAGTGGTGTGGTGGTGAGCTGCCGGGGCGAGGGGGTGGGAGCCAGCGATGCTCTGCAACCCCGCTGGCCATGAAGAGCAAGGGGGTGCAGGAGGGTGCCCCTGTTTTGGGGTGCAGATGTTAGCTCATAGAGGGGAGTCCAGAAAATAGGGAGTTTTTTCCTTGCACACCTCATGCACCGTGCACGGTGGGGTTTGGCTCTGGCTGCTCTTGGCCACCCATGTGGGACGGTGCCTGCTCCCTCTCACCTCTCCCCTCCCCGTATGGGTGGCCAAGGGGAGTGGGGACATGGGGACTGTCCAGCTGGTGGCCATGGCCTTGGCTGCAGGAGGTTGGTGCCATCCCAGCACTTCCCCGTTTGCACTGGGGCCCGCAGAGGCTGGCAGGGGCTGTGGCCATGGTGCCTTGCTGGCAGCACGCTCTCGCCCCATCCCTTCTGCCCCACCAAACACGGTGCCCTAGAAAAGCCACTGTTTCCCTTTCATCTTCCTATCCCACCAGTCAAGGTTTGCTTTCTTTATCTCTTTCTCTCATCCTTCCCCCCTCCCCGATGAGTCATAGCTGCAGCAGCGTGAAAAAGATGTCACCCGCACTTCGGTTTCCCACCTCGCCACCCCCTTCCCCTCCTCCTCCAGCCCTCGGCCCGCTGCAGCGGGTGCCTGACAGATCTGGGCGACGTGTTGCATAACGCTCACGCTCCCTGTGTGGTCCACACATGGTCCCCCTGTGGTCCCTGCACCCACAGAGCCGGCGAGCCCCTTCCCCTGCATCCTCCAAGGTGGCACTTTGCAGCATCCAGGTCCAGCTCAGAGCTGGGCCCAGGGGCTTTTGGGGGTGTTTAAGTACCGCTGGGTTTTGGGAGATGCTCAGGGCTGTGCCACCCCGAGGACACAGTAACCCCGCTGTGCCCCCCAGCTCCTCTGAGCAGCTTTCACTTGGGGTCATGCAAAAAGTGACCCAGGCCGCCGCGCTGTTGGTTTTCCCGGCGCGTGGCTGCAGGACAGACGTGCCCAGCGATGGGTTACGGATTGTCTGTGGGGTTGCTGCCAACCACCAGCCCCTCCCCTGCAGTGGTGCAGCAGCTCCAGGGAGCTTTCCTGGCTGCTTCCGTACCGGAGAGTGGGTTGGATGCACCTGATGTATCAGGGCCAAGCTGCAGCGGTGGAGGGGAAGGGATGCTCCAGCCCTCAGGTGAAGTTTTTCCATTTGCAGCTTCTTGCTCGGGAGCTGTGTGCATCCAAAGATCTGAGCGAGGGATATAAATCCTCTCCTGCACACCCATGACGGCTTCAGGGCTGAGCCAGGCATCGCCTGCCCCAGCACCTCTGCCTCCAGCGTGGCCGTGCTGGCAGGAGGTGACGCTGTGTAGAGGGCTTTTTATTTTAAAGGAGGTTTAAAAGATTTTCCCAGGTGCTCCCGGCTGGGCGGTGGGTCCCTGTCCCCTCCCAGCTCCTGGACAATGTTCAGCATGAGCCTGGCTGTGCTCGGTTGCCAGTTCTGGGCTCACAGCAGGGTTGGAGCGGTGGGCTCGGTGTCACCGGTGCCACTCGCTGCTTCCCCAGACCCTCCCCCTGCCACCCTCGCTGCGGTGCCCACAGTGACCTCGTCCCACGGGGCTGGGAGCTTTTGGGTGGGTGATGGGAGCGACACGGGGAGCACCCGGGGTCCTGCCTGGCTCCAGCGCAGCTCCCCAGGGCCTGGGGGACTGTTCAGCGGGGACACCCACCCGGTGCCCATCCTCTGCCCTTCCTCCACAGGTACAAGGGCTTTATCAAGGACTGCCCCAGCGGGCAGCTCGATGCTGCCGGCTTTCAGAAGATCTATAAGCAGTTCTTCCCTTTTGGAGACCCAACCAAATTCGCCACCTTTGTTTTCAATGTCTTTGACGAGAATAAAGTAAGTCTGTGAACCAGAGGCACAGTCTGGGGGGGCTGGGGCTGGGCCTGTGGTGACGGTGGGACGGGTTCGTTACGCGGCTGCGCGGCGCTGGAGGAGCAAAATATTCCAGCGCTTCCTGGGGCGTGAAATTAAAGCAGCGCAGCTGCAGCCAGCGAGCCCTGGCGCTTATTTTAGTCGATAAGAGTCACACAGGAAAAGGCGATGAAGTGACAAAGCAAGAGAGGAGAAACACGATGTTTTGGTGCCGCTGACAAAAGCCCACCCGTGTGGTACCCCCCCCCGGCACTCCCGCCGGAATCTCGCTGTCGGGCTGGGCACCGGCGGCTGGATCACGCTGCTGGAGATAAATGTGCATCACTCCTCCCTCCCCGCTGCCTTTTCGGATGTGTCCCCTACGAGGGCACGCGTGGGCAGGGAGGAGTCTGCATGGCGGGGGATGGCAGTGGCACCCTCACCCCCTCCTTCCCTCCCCCAGGACGGGAGGATCGAGTTTTCGGAGTTCATCCAGGCGCTGTCGGTCACCTCCCGGGGGACGCTGGACGAGAAGCTGAGGTGTAAGTGCTCCCTGCATGGTGGGCTCAGCCCCGCAGCCCCCGGCGCAACGAGGGGGCTGGGAGGGTGACATGGAGGTGGCAATGGGGTGCATGTGCAGGGCGGGGGGTGCTGCAATCCCCAGCCCCTCGGTGTCACTGTGGCTTGCAGGGGCGTTTAAACTGTACGACTTGGACAACGACGGGTACATCACGAGGAACGAGATGCTGGACATTGTGGATGCGATTTATCAGATGGTGGTA